ATGAGATATCTCTACTCTTCAGAGCTGACTGTAGTAGTTTACTTATGAAATTCCTCTGGCTAGATTGCAGATTCAATTATTTAAAAAACAATCTTCTTAGATTTCTTCAGAGTATTGTGAAACTCAAAGGAAAATATCTCCGTTTAATGGCATATCCTTGATGATCATGGGCTCCCTATATGTTCTTAGCATCCATCAAATAGAGAACTTACCTCGTGATTGGCGAAAATGGCACGTGCTCCTAATGACTAAAAGTATCTTCTTCTTCTTTTCTTTTTTTCTTTTTAATTTCTAATAAAATAAATATTAATGGATGTTTGGTATTTATTGGATTGTGTTGGTTATTGCTTCTTGAAGAACTTAATGCATATTTATTTAAAATCTTAGTTCTTCTGAGTTGCTTTCAAATTTCTTTCTGCAGCTCATCTGCTTTTTCTTGGATTACAACTGACTTTCTGCCAAATTAATTATCATGATAATTTCCAACAAAATGTGCATTTTCCAGATACACTCAATTTTTACCACCTGTTGGCTGTTACTTTTTAGTAGATGTGGGAGTATGAATAGATTAATTTGGCACTATGATAGCGAAGTCCTGCATACGGCTGCTTTCAAAGAGGGAAACATGAAAATAATAGTAGGGAAGTGGTACGCGAATGGTGAAGGTTTGGTAAACACGTGTGTCACCCAAGCTTAAAAGACATGACGACTTGATGTGATTCTCACCTTCCTCCGACTTATCACTAGCATTCTATTCAAAGTTTTAAAATCAATGATGAAACTAAAAATGGTGGTCATGCTCATTCATGGATTTAAACCAACACCTAAAGGCACAATCTGACATTAGCAATGCACCACCTGTATTCGTGTTAATGAAGGCCCTCTCTTTGAAGAGGATGTGTAGTATGTCAAGTTCTGGTAAGGTTCTTTGTTTTGCATCGAATGAAACCCCATGTTTTACAGCTTGTGTGAGCTAGTGTCAAATTCTTTAGAGTTTTATTCTTGTGAACGTGCTCTCCAGGCAAGTTACTTCCACGAGGATTGGCCCATGGCATCCAACTTGGTGAGGATGAGGATAGGGGGTGATGGGTGTTGTTTCGGTGTGGAGAGCTCGAAACCATTTGCCATTGTTTGTTTTCTTAGTGGACAATTAAAACAAGAGTGGAAATGTTCCGGTGTGGTGGCACAAGATAAAAGAGTTGGTGGCTTGGGACATGAGGGACGTATTAGTGGGTATCGAGCAAGATAGTGAGGAGCTGTGCTTCGAGTAGGTGGGATGTTTGCTGTGGGTGTTGTATTGTGAATGGAATAGTCTTACACCTAGAGTCACGTGACCCCCCAACTTTAAAAAAAGTGGATTTTTTATTTTTATTTTTTTTGGAAAATGGATTTTGGACTGGCATTGATAATTCGACGAGAACAACGATCATGAGAGTGACGATGAGCTTATTAAGTCAACAAGTTACTATGCTTATCATATAATGACAAGGAGTAAGATTACATGATTAACTTTTATTTTTTATTTTATTTATTTTGTTCTTTAGCTTCTAGTCCTCTAGACTGAACAATTTTTTCATATTGTATTTACATTGTTTGGATGTTGAGTCTAATGTTCCCCAAGCTTGTATTTCTTTTTATTTTCGTAGGAATAAGGGACTTCTTTGATAAACTGGTCAATTTTGAAATTTACTTTTTAGTGTCAAGTAACTTATAGTATATTTAGTTGTTTTCACTTAAGTAAAAATCTTTTTCGAGTATTTTATATAAATCACTTCGCTATTTAGTAAAGAGTCAAATAAGTAACTTATAGTATATTTAGCTGTAATTCTCTGATTTTAAGCACAAAATCAACAAAACTTAGGCCCCGTTTGGGAGTGATTTTGAGAATTGATTTTGTGATCGTTATGAGAAAAGTGATGACCATCTATGAGAGAAGAAGTCAAACTTTACGATTGGAATAGTGAAATAACGGTAAAAAAATCGATTTTTTGGGATGAAAAATCGCTCCCAAACAAGCTCTTAATGTAAACCTTATTTATTTGAATATAAACTAATTCATTCTGCGTAAACTTTTCAAGCTTAGCTAGAGAATTTAGGTACTTTGTCACATTAATAGATTAACCCATGAAATTAGTCATGATAAGTAATTATGAATTGCAATACAATTAATAAATCAAAGACACACTGTTTAGCATCATGGAATGCAGCAACATCTAATGCTGATCTTGTCGTTGCACACCAAATGGCCCGAAAGAACAGTTGTGTACATGAAATCCGAGGTGTACCATGAGAAAGTCGAGATGGGAAGGGACTTAAAGAATGTCAAGTTAGTTGGAGATGGCATGGATAAAACCATCGTCACTGCCGTAATCATTGGAACCAAAATGTCAGGTTTTTCACAATTTTTTGCAAGTTTGATTATGCCTTCCCAAATCAAAATGTTTGCGTCCTTCACTTTCTGGAGTGATAGTATGTCGTCCTGCTTGATCCTGATTGCCAAAAATAGGGGAGTTGGGATTCAACGCCAGCAAAGAGGTGGCACACATCTTGGTTCCATGATCACGACGGAGTAGTGGTGGGGGCAATGATTAACTGGGTGAGAATTCTTTTTTAGTGGATGATGCAAAGGCAAAGGCAATGGCAAGGTCTGATTTTCGCTCATCCCATCGGTTTTCTACCTCTCCGTACCGTGCAAAGTTTAATTTTTTTATTTTTCTTTTGCGCCGAATGAGACATTACTTAATGATAACGATATCAATAGCGATAGTCCTTGTCACGTTGTACCTCTCGTGGGAATGGAGTGGCCCATGAGGTCAGATCACAAGTTTGTTTAGTTCAGGATTTTATTAGTTAAAAAGTACTTCACCTCACTCAAAGAAAGAAAAGAAAGAACAAATTGTGCTATTTTCAAGTTCTCAACCTAATATTGGAAATGAATATAATCGAACAACATAATTAAAATTCACATGCTTCAAACAAAAAGAACTTAAAATAACTTGGATTATGAATGCCAATAATATCAAACATTATAATTAAAATTCACAGACTAAAAAAAATAATATATATATATATATATATATATATATATATATATATATATATAAGGGAAAATTGCAACAGAGGTCCCAAACCTTTAAAATATTAGCAGACTTTTCTCAAACATTTAATTTGTTGCAACCGTCACCCCAAACCTTTCGAAACCTTGCGACGGAAGCCATTTTAGACTGTTTTTCTCCTAATGTCTGTTAGTTGACTAAAAATTTTGACTTTGACCATATTTCTAATATTTTTGAAAAGGTAAAATAGTAACTTCCATTTATTACATTAAAATAAGTGAGAAATTAAATTAGAAAAAAAAAAAAAAAAAAAAAAAAAAAAAAGAATCCAGACGTCTTCTTCCTCCCACCCCCACCCCCACGCCACCCCAACCCAATCCAAATCCAAATCCAAAATCAATTTCCACCTCCGCCTTAATAGAATTGATAATCAGAGTAAAGATTTGATTTTCGTATAGTGTTTTAATTTTCATCTTCTGTATGAAATCTGAATAAAAATTGGGTTTGTGCAGTATTCTGTATGAGCTAAGAATTTAGAAAATGGGGAAGCGCGGACATGTTGATGATGAACTGGAAGGTAAGCAGTTGGCTGCGTGTGGAGATTAGTCCATGCCCTCCACTATCATCATTGGCATTCCAATGCCCGAAAAATGACCAATCACCAAAAATATGAAGATAAAAGACAGTCAAAATGTAAGCCGTTTTTATTTGCATTTCTTGATTTTTGTTCCAATATCACTCTAAGTTTGGAGATTATAAATTCAACGGAAGTACTTTATCTCTGTCTGTAAGAATTTATCTCAATGTTCTCAATTTTTTTTTTTTTGCTCTTAGTTTCTGCTGCTTATGGAATTTCAAAACCAAAATTGTTTGAATATGACGAAGTAAAAAAGCTTTTAAACGACCAAGAGAGCAAATTCTGTTAAGGTGGAGGTGGAGGTGGCGGAAATTAATTTTGGGTTTGGATCTAGGTTTGGGGTGGGGTGGCGTGGGAGGAAGAAGAGGACTGGATACTTTTTCTTTTGTTTTTAATTTCTATTTTTTTAAATTTAATTTCTCACTTATTTTAATGTAATAAATGGAAGTTACTATTTTATCCTTTCAAAAATATTAAAAATATGGTCAAAGTCAAAATTCTTAGTCAACTAACAGACAGTTGGATGAAAACATTCCAAAATGGTCTCCACCGCAATATTTCGAAAGGTTTGGAGTAACTGTTGCAACAAATTAAAGGTTTGGAAAAAGTCTACTAATGTTTTAAAGGTATAAGGCCTTTGCTAATCATTGAGAAAATATAAAATTACAATTTTATCCTTCTAAAATTAATCAAAATGTGATCAAATTTTTTTTTTTTTTCTTTTTTTTGGGATTGACTAACAATGAAATGAACAGATTCCATCCATTTGTCATTCAACTACAATTGAATGAAAGGTTTGAGACTGTGAGTGCAAAAATGAAATTTTTGGGTATAATCTACAATAATTTGAAAGACTTGCAACTCCACTACGATTCTCCCATAAAAAGCACATACTTCAACAAAAAAGCATTTATAATGCCCTTGTTTGAGCCCCATTTTTCCACAAAAATACATTTTTCAATAATGATTTAACACCATTTCAACCATACATTTTTCAATAAAATAATATTATACGCAAATTCAAAACTTTTTCTTATTTTTTAACCACACATTTATCATCAATACACTATTCAAAAATTCATTTTCTCATCCAAAATGTGGCTCAAACAAGGGCAATAACTTTGATTCTTTACAGTATTCATATATCTTCCCAAAAAAATAATAAATAATAAATAAAATAAAATAAAAAGTGAGAGAGGTAGTTTAACAAGAAGTCAAGAACAGAGAAATGTTGCTTTCTTTCTTACGTTATTTGATCATTTAAAAAAAGAAAATTACTAAAAAAGTCAAGAAAAGATCTGATTAAATTACACAACAAAGATAATATCAATTATTCGAGCATCCAACTAAATTGAGATGTTGGGATAAATGTTATACATTCACCATGTCATGAGTGTTTGTCTTCCGACAGATTCCAAGGTTTCCAGCAAACAACACTATCCAATCCCAGAACAAAAATAAAGGGCAGCAAATGCAATTTTCTAAGTTTTGATTTCTACAATAATGGGAAAACTGGAAATGCAAATTCTTAAACAAACCTATATGATCACAAAATTGCTCGACAAATTACCAGGAGGGATGCAAGAATCGAACCGAGAAGGAAGGCTAATGCCAGCTTCACTGGTTCATATGCTGTAGAAGCTGCTCAGTCGAGGCATGAGTTTGTCAATCATCTCCAGAGCAACTGAAAATTATACCTCTATCTTGATTTTTCTCATCGCCTAGGTTATGAAAATCTTTTCTCTCGACTTCGTTAAACTACTAGCGCAACTAAAGGAACGAAATCCTAACAGCTGCATCAGACAAACTAAGCAAAATAATTCCAGGGAACATGTTAGGAAATTTTTGTATTCTTCTCTGATTCATTGGCCGACAGTACACAAAAGATTCTATGAATGACAGAGGCTTGTAATGGAAGAACTCAAAACCTCTTCTCCAATAATAGCAGCATTTGTTATTCGAAAATATCCCATCATCAATATACTTAAAATCTCTCTTACGATTGTGCTTCAACTAGCATTCCAATGGTTAAGTCTTGTGATCAAGTTGACAAGCCGAATGTCATGCTTTTCATGTTCAACTTTTCATGGAAGATTCAATCACTTAGCAATGTCTTCAAGCTTGTCGAGAATTTGCTTAATATCAGGCCGAAGGGGAGTTGAGGGAGAACAACAAGCCATTGCAAGTTGACAAAACCTGAGAATATGATCTTCAGTGACTACTGTCTGACCACTGTTTCGACTGAGAAGGATGTCTGGATGATACAAATCCGTTATTCGATCATCAAGAATTGCAGCCCTCAAGGTATTAGGCAAATAAAAGTCTTGATCGGTAGTCGGGTTTTCATCAATGGGTTCTTTTCCAGTAAGTAATTCTAGAAAGATTACCCCAAGACTATAAATATCACTTTCTTCACTTGCATCTTTTATTTTAATCAACTCGGGAGCTTTATATCCCTGAGATGCAGATGCTTCAAGCATTTGTTGCCCAGCCATCGGATTCAAGAGAAGATGCAGGCCAAAATCCGACACATATGGTTGGTAATTACGATCCAATAGTACATTCTTCGACTTGAGATTTCCATGGACTACGGGCTTTCCAAACGCCGTGTGAAGATAATGAACTCCTCTAGCAATGCCGATGGAGATCCTACATATGATCGACCATTTGTGAGCCTCGCCATTACCATCTGTGCATCAAAGAAAATTATTGTTCGGCTCAGTCTATATTGTAATATTGCATGATGCATACACATATATGTACGTATAGGAGTTATCCAAAGCAAGAATTTGAAACAGTATCTACCCATGTGGAGGGGTCTGAATGATACAGACAGAGACAAATACAAGAAAAATCCAGCTAGAAACTACACACCAAGCTTTTCCTAAAGCCTTTGTCCAACAGCTCACTAAATTATAAAATGAACAATTTTAAAAGGAAAAATGTAAACAAAACAAGACAAATTCAGTTTTACATGCAAATAAGACAGTAAATAATACTTTAGAACTCAAAAAGTAGAGAGGTCCAGTGTTCATAAGAATCCAACGGAGAGACAGTTGACATATCAGAAAGAAGAGGCCTATTGGAGGGGTGCCTGCCCAATAGGGGGCCGCCACATAAGCCCCCTGTTTTTGGCCCGGCTCAAACAGGTTTTCCCTAGAAAGAATTAATTCAGCTCTTTTGATTAGAATGGAACCTGGAAAAAGTTCATATACAAATTTAAACACGGAAAGAATCCAACTAAAGCATTACCAATGCACCTTTGCAAAAACTGCAGTCAAAGAAAAGAAAATAAATTACTTTTCGTCATTCTTGAATTTCAAATATTTCAGATAAATTAATTATATTCAAACAGAGCTTATCTGATCATAAAATTGTGTTTCTAAACATAGCCCTAATTTGGAAAATCCATGATCATTTCCTTTAAACATTACCTTTTGCAATTCTTGAATTGCACATGTTTCATACAATTAATTCTGCTTCAAGAACAGGCTATCAGATTCTACAATTTCTTATCTAAACATAGCCCTAATTGCAAAAATCCATAACCCTTTTTCTTGAAACGTTAACCAAACAAAATCTTCGATTTAAGGGTGAAATTCTAACAAGAAAATCCAACTGCAAGAGCCTTACCTCTGATGAAACGAGCCAAATTTCCTAGCCCATAAAATGGATGAACAAGAAGCTTCTCCCCTCTCAGCCCCGCATAAAATGCACTCAGAGGCACCAAATTTGGATGCCTAATGGAACCCAGCAGCTCTATAATTGGTACGACTTCTTTTATCCTCAATGTACAAGTAGGCCTCAAGAACCTTAACAAAATCAGTGAATTTGAATTTACCAAACTAGCCCTGTACAGAGTTCCATAGCTAGATTTTCCAATAACCTCACCAGGGGCATCCAGTAATTCATGTACAGTTAGATCTTCAACATCTTGAAACCTGATCAAAATATCATCTGTATTTACCACCCCAGAAATTTCTTTGCACTCAAAGCTAGCTTCTATATCCCTTGAAACATTTTGAGGCTTTTTTCTTCTACAGCAAAAGATTATAAGGAACAGAATTGTTAAGAATGTTAATGAGGTTAGTCCTATGATTAATATGAGCTTATATTTGTTTTCCATCTCAGGAAAGAAAAAGTGACTCTTGGGATTTCTTGGTGGGTTTAAAGATGGAAACTTCGTGGGCTTTTTATGAAAAATAAGAACCCAAGATCTGGAATGGTGGAACAATTTGAACTGAAAAATGCAAAGTGAAAACGAAACGTGATCACGTGAATCAAGAAGTTTTTAAAATTGTAGAAGAAAATCTAAACTGATAGGTATTTTCTGAAGACTGAGAAATCCCATTCACGGAGTTCTGGGAATTCGTGCAAAAGGAGAGAAGTTAGACAAAATAACTTCTGGGATTTTAAGTGCAGACAAATCAGAGAGAGAATAGAGGAGGGAGAGAGAGAGAGAGAGAGAGAGAGAGAGAGTTTTATATAAATCAATTTTGCGGATCTTTATGCTGTTCATGAATGGATGTCCCTGTTCCTGTGTATCCTCCAGGAAGAAAAAAAATAAAAATTAAAAAATTAAAAATCAGAAATTAAATTATTGCTCAACTATTTTTTTTTTTTTTTTTTTAATATGGGAAGAAATCATAATGCTTAAAAATGGCAAACTGGAACTGAAGCACATATCCCTTGAATATTTGATTATGACAATTACAAAATAGAAAATTGGGAGTAGAAAATCAAGAGAATAAAAGAAAGTTTTGTAAAGAATATATTCATATTCTTAAAACTAGGGCCTTAAATAGCAACCCTTTTGAGCTCACGTTAGGTTTTTGAATTTTACTTTTTGATTTGAATAGAAAAATGTCTTGAGTTGTGAGACAAATTGAAGCATCTGAAGAACGTAAAGCAAGCATCTGAAGAACATAAAGCACTCAACAACATCATGATATGATATTAATATCTATCTTAACCATATAAAATTTCGAATTTTTTTCAATTAAGCAACTTGTACAGAATTTTTTTACAAATTGTTTGATAGATGCTGAGATAACATGCATTTTGAATCTTGATTTGAATATATCAAGAGTTAAAATGTTTGTCATCTCATCATCTATTTCTTGATTTGAGCCCCTGTTTGGAAGCCATTCCTAGCAAATTTTTAGTGGAATTTTGACTGCTATACAGTAAAATCAGCCACATATTTTGACCAAACCAAGCAGAATTTTGATTTTGTAATCAATAATTACAGCTCCAACAGCCAGAATTTTTATTAAAATCAAGCAAGAATACAAGCACTGAATTTATCAATAGTCAAAATGTATGTCATCTCAACATCTGTAAACGAAGGTGTTTAAGAAAAAAAAAAAAAAAAAACCCCCTCTACAAATAATATAACTTTTTTTTCGTTTTATCTCTTTTTTTTTCTTTTTTTATTTTTTTATTATTATTTTTTTATTTTTTTTTTGGGGCGTGGTGGGGGAGTGTGTCGTTGAAGTCGGTTGGGTCAAATTTGGTAGAGACAACTACCAATGAGTGGAAAGGGGTAGACCGACCTACATGTAATAAAAAATCGCAACAATTTCTTTTTTGTAGTGGCACGTTGGGAGCATCTATGGTGTACTCAAGAAATTGGGACACGAAATAATTTTGTAGTCTTTGGAGTTTGGTCCATTTTATGAGAGAGCGATGCGTGCAAAATAATTACAAAATTAAAATAAAAACCTCAACATGCCCACTATGTGGGTTACATGTTGTGGGGGTAATTGTCAATTTCTTAAAAGCCAAGGCAAAGTGGCATGTGAATGATGCCAATTCAAGAAAAGTACCTTAATTCTTGCTACATATAGGGTTTGGTTTGTTCATTTGAGAATTATTTTGTTGTATTTCAAGGAGGAATTGTATAAAATTGTCTTCGTAAAAATGTGTGAGTGGAAAATAATCTTCTCTAAATTTAGGGTGCTTATATTAGGGTTAGATTTTTTATTTGATGTACCATATTTCAATAGATAATTACATTCACATCACAATTTTTATTTTTTCCACCATATTTATTGCACTTAAGATTTTTAATCTTTGTTCATTGTAATATTTATGTCTCTAACGACTTTTCATGTCATTCTTATCTTCAAACGTTTCATTAGTTAACACATTTTAAACTTGATAACAGTTTTATATCCAAAAGTTCCTTGAAATGGCGTAAAATAATTTTTTTCTATCATATTTTTAAAAAATAAATAAAAAGTGCAAAAAAATATTTTTTTTCTTTATTTCAAACCTAAAAATTAAATATTTTGATATAAATTATCATCAAGGAAGAGATATACTAATTGATAAAAGGTTGAAAATATAAATTCAACGAAAAATTTTAAGAAAATAATTACTACAATGAGAAAGGATTGAAGAGCATAACTGTAATTATAATGGAGTGAATCAAATAAAAATTGTGATGACAATATAACCACCATATTTTAATCCTTGTTTGGACTCCATTTTTTCAAAACTCATTTTCAATCACACATTCACTAATAAAATATTTCTACACAAACTCAAAAGTCTTCCTTATTTTGAACCACAAAATCTCCAAAAAATTACCATTCCAAAATTCATTTTTTCCAAAATGGAGCTCAAACAAAGGCTAATATGAAAGTTCTCAAGCTTTGTTCATTGTAGTAGTTATATATCTAACATTTTTCTAATCAATTCCTACTTTCAACACTACAAAAAAATATGGCTTCAGGCACGAGTTTTTCGTTCTTAAAATCTCGATATCCGTTGCTATTACTCTTTGCCAACGGAATATTTGCAACCACAAATCCGTTGTTAATTTGAAGGTCGCTGATAGTTACCAACGATTGTGCTGTAGGTAAAGAGTAAACATTTTACCAACGGAAATTTGTTGGTAATGTGTGAATTTTTACCAACGGAATTTCCATTGGTAAAAATCTTAACTAATACCAATCAACTTTCCGTTAGTAAATGTCTATTATTACAATTGATAAAAATCAATGTTGTAAATAATCATATAGGTGTGAGGCAGGTAAAAAATAAAATTATTTACTTATTTTTTTATTGTTATTATTATTTATTTAATAATTATAATTTTTTAAAAACTTTTAAACAATTGAATTGAAAAGCCAAAATATTGTTTAATCACTTATTGGACCACAAATTTATAGAGGACAACTCCAAAAACTTTGTTGTAAACTTTCGATGTGGGATAATTGAATTAATTTTACCAACGGATAATCCGTTTTTAATTACCAACGGAATATCCGTAGGTGAAATATTCAAATGTTAAATGGTCATATTAGGCACAAAATATCCGTTGATAAAAAGATATTATCATTACCAATAGAAAGTCCGTTACTGATTATTTAATTGGAAGTGAATTATTTTTACCAATGGATAATCCGTTTCTAATTACCAATGGATTGTTTCCGTTGATAATATTTGGTAAGTTACCTATGGAATATCCGTAGGTGAAATATCCAAATATTAAACGGTTACATTAGGCATGGAATATCCGTTGATAAAAGGATATCACTGTTACCAACAGAAAATTCGTTGCTAATTATCGTAGTTGAAAGTGAATTACTTTTACCGACGAATAATCCGTTTCTAATTACCAACGGATGTCCGTTGACAATTTTTCGTAGGTAAAAAGCTGTTTTTTAGTAGTGCAATTTTCTATTAATTAGCACATTTCGTCATTGATGATGTTCTATCAAAATATTCTATTTGCATGCACTTCGACTTGAGCGAAAGATATATTGTAGTTTCTTGTATTTATTATTTTTAAAATATGATGGACAAATAAGCCGTTTATGCCACTCTAAAGAACTTTCTTTTGGAATAAAAATTGTTGTTCTAGATGAGATTTGCTAAATAATGAAATGTTGAGAACAAGAAAGCAAAGAAAATAGTTGAGAACATAATTACTATAATAAAAAAGAATGACAATCTCAACTGCAACTAGAATACGATGTAATAAACAAAAATAATAGTGTAGAAACTATGAATATAATTACTCATTTTTTTATTCAAAACAAAGTCAATTCCCTTGGCTCTTGGTCGTTGATCCTATAACGCCTATCCTGTAACTTATTCCATTGAATATCGAATCTAAAGCAATCAAGCTATATTACAACAATTTCATATGATCCAAAAGCGATGTATCGTTTTTATTTTAATGATAAATGCCTTAAACACCCTTATTATGAAAAGACCTTTCTTTTTAAACAAGTCAAATCAGTTTCAATCTCATCAAAATTACCTATCAAATCAAATCTACTCTACCGGTCCAAATCGATCCAAGAAAAAACTTAATAGATTTTTCTAAATGGACTCTACGACAAAAATAGAAGACGACGAGTGTTAGAGTAAATTTAAGCAATCATGCTACTTATAATAGGGCTGGATAAATCTTTCAAACCGAATCAATAGAATTGAATTCGACGGTTCTTGTTAAATTAAATATCCGAATGAGTATCTGAATTGAGAACCGACGGGTACAGTTCGATTCTCGATTCTAGACCAAGAACCGAATAAGAATCGATCTATCTAATTTTTTTTATATTGAATAAATCAAATTATTTCAATTTTAATTTTTTAAACAAATTAATAAATTAACAATTTCTAAATCCAAATTTTTCGCCCAATAATTTGTTTCATTTATAATTTTTTAATTTTTTACCCAATTACCCATTTTATTATTTTATTTCTTAGCCCAACAAAAATTCAACCCACTAAATAACCCTAAATACCTACACTAAAGTGCATAACGCTGTCTCGACTCTCGCACTCACTCTCGCAGCCCTGTTGACATTCCAAAACCTATACAATCACCAGCTGACACTGTGACCTCCGACAATCGAAGCTGTGACCATAGCGATCATTTAAACAAGGTAGTCTACTAGTCTCTGACATTCCAAAACCATTGAATGTGTCATTAGTTTTATTTATATAATGTTGTTATAAATGTTAAAAATTTTAATTATAGTACGGAACCGAACCCAAACGGTTCCATAATTATATTTGGACCTGACGGTTCCATTTACTAGATACCCGAAAATTTTGGTTCGGTTCGGTTCGGTTCTCTTTAGAACCGAACCGAACCGAACCGAACCGACACGCACCCACCTCTAACTTATACAATAATTTTGACAAAAATTTGACAATGTGTGCGTTGGCAGACGTCATGTTCATTGATTTGAAAAACAGTCTTTGGATTCAATGGGCAGGATCTTTACACTATACACATTTTCAAACTCATTATGCAAATTCATTGTACAAATAGATTAATTCAAATTTAAGACACGGGAGGGCTATAAAGATGTAGGAACGAGGCTATAGAAGAGCAAGGAGGTTGGAGAGGGAGGAATAGACATGTGAGGACAAGGACTAGAGTTGAAGTCGATACAAGGAACTGGAAGATGGCCATAAACGGGAAGAGGACGGGAAGTGCTAGTTATGGGAGGAAGACA